TTCCTAGTTGCCATGGAGTCCACGTCATCTCACAGCAAACCCATCTGTGCACCTTCTCCAATCAACCTAATTTAGGTTTGTTACTCTCCTAGTCGCCACAAGAGGGCGCCAAACACAGTCCAGAGAGAGGAACTAAGCTGGAGGGTGGGGTAAGTGAACTCCCACCCTCAAGAAACTGGAAGAGATCAGACACTCTTCAACTATCCCATCAAATTGACAAGACCCCAGGAAAATTCTGATGTTTTACAGGGACTTTCTGGAAACATACAGAGGAACAAAAAGTGCGAGTAGCTTCCCTATCAGAATAGAACAGAGGGGATAATGAAGGATGAAGTTCAAAAGGGAATTTGGGAGAATACTCCACAGTTCCCGTAAATCAGCGCTTGCTTCTACTTTTCCAGGTGTGTCTGCCTGGAAGTTCATCTCCACCCAATGGCAGGATCTGGTCATTCCTCCACTCAGCTTCCTCCTACCAGTAGATGTAAGGAAAAGAAATGTCCTACATCCACTTTCCGGTTAGTCTCACTTCGCCAGATGTTCGGCTCTACCTGTTGCTCTCGGCCATAAACAGTTGCTTTCAAAGGGGCCCCCAGGGCCAGCTGGGCCTGTCTCCTTCCTGTGACTGCTTGTTGTCCCCTACAGGTCCACACTGCCTGAAATGTAAAACACTATGAGTTTTCCCTCATGCCACAAAGTAATGGTCTATAACAGACTTCCACTAAGAATGTAGGAGTCTCAGGAGAGAGTCTCAATGCAGCACCAAGAAGGAAACCATTCAAAATAGAACACTATGCCTTTCCTGCCCTCAGCCATCCCCACTTCCAGGAATTTCTAACTCCTTGTTGTTAGCTACCTTTGAGTTGACTGAAATAAAAACTGCAGGACTTGGCCATGATGAGCGTGCAGGACAAGGAAGGTGTCAAAGGCAATTATTACAAAGCCCAGGACTCTGGAGGTCCCAGACTAGCCTAGAGACTAATCAGCAGGGTCTTAGATGACTGTACAGATGGCATCATGCTTACGCAATCACCAGGACAGTCCTGTGGGTGTCTCCAGCCCAACTCAAAGGGGCCCATTCTGATCTAGGACCACTTACATCACAGAAAAAACTCACCTGCTAAAACATTTAAGCAATTTCTTTCCAGCTTCCACCCCCAGCCCAGCCTCCTTCCATCACCTTAACAGCTGCATTATGACAAGCAGTTGTGGCATTACAAGGAAGGACTTCTACCCCCATCTAGAGATCTAATCTTCCTCTGGTTAGCATTCAGCCTCCTATAACATACAACAACCCTCCTCCAACGCACACACATACGTACACATAGCCCTAAGCACTGACAACACACTTCCAGATTGATCCTGGCTTTATTTAATACACTTGGATTCTCACAGATATCACTTGGGTCCTTCACATAGAGGATGAGTGGATGAGAAGAATTACATAAATTATACATGGTAATAAGAATAACCTCCACTCTAACTATCAGGAGGAAGTGGGAGGAGAACTATTGCATTGTGGTAAATTGTGGTCAATGTCATGAGACAAAGTGTATGTGAACTGCTGTATGGAAAGTGAATTTGCTCTGTAAATTTTCACCCAAATCACAAATCACAATAAAAAAATAATAATAACCTGAACCCAACTCTCAGTCTGTCGTACTATGCTGGCTTACTCTTGCTAAGATGCTGGAAGTTATGTCACCAGTATTTCAAATATACAAGGTCACCCACAGGCAAGTTTCAGTGGAGCTTCCAGACTAAAACAGGCTAAGAAGGAAGGCCTGGCGATCTACTTTCAAAAACTGACCAATGGAAGCCTCTCGGGTCACAACAGAGTATTGTCTGATACACTGCTGGAAGATGAGCCACCTCAGTTGAAAGGTACACAGACCCACCAAAGATCATGAAGAAGGGGCGGGACTGGTTTCTTTCTGTTACACACAAGGTCACAGTGGGTTGGAGCTGAAAACTAACAACAAGAAAAAAATAAAGGAAAAGTCATTGAAGAAAACAGTGTGGCAGTTCCTCAAAAAACTGAAAATAGAACTACCATGTGACCCAGCAATTCCACTCCTCGGTATATACCCAAAAGACTTGAAAGCAGACTCAAACAGAGACTTGAACAGCTATGTTCATTGCAGCACTATTCACAATAGCAAAAGGCAGAAACAAGCTAAATGCCCATCAACAGATGAATGGATAAACAAAATGTGGTGCATACATATGATGGAATACTACTCAGCCAGTAGGAGAAACAAAGTCTTGGTACATTCCACAGGATGGATGGAGCTGGAAGACATTACCAAACCCAAAACCAAATCTGTTGCCATGGTCTAATTGATTCTGACTCGTAGTGGCCTTAGAGGACAGAGCAGAACTGCCCCATAGGCTTTCCAAGGCTGCAAATCTATTTGTACAGACTGCCACATCTTTTTCCCATAGAGCATTCGTACTGCTATCCTTTCACCTGATGACTACTGTGCCACCAGGGCTCCTCATAAATAGACAAGAAAAGGCAACTGTATAGAGACCAAAGTTTATTAATGGTTGCCAGATGCAGGAATGTTGAGAGAGGGGTGGGTATTAACAGTGATGGAAAAAATTGCATCGACTAAGGGTAGTGTTGCACAGCCAATAACTGTAATAGCTGCCAATAAGTTGTACACCTGTAAAGAGTTGAATTGGTAAAAGATGTATGATCAATATATTTACAACAATGACAAAAAAATAGAGAGAGAGAGAGAGTAGCAGCTGAGGCTTCTTATGTACAACCAAAACCCTCATAGGATTTGGTTCCTTGGTTCAGAAGTTTAGTGTCGTGGTTTCATGGGACATCCCAGTTAATTGGCCTAATAATGTGTTTAGCATTTCTGTTCTACCTCCTAATTCAATGCAGGGTCTTAAAAGCTTGCAAGCAGTCCATTCAAGGCACGACAATTGGTCTCTATTCACCTGGAACATCCGCAGAAGAAGGAGTATCAGGAATGGGAGGAGAAGATGGAATTGTGGCTGCTACAAGACCAGCAGAACTGGATGGTACCAGCTACCATTACTGACCATTCTGATGAGAGGTTCTTTAGAAGAATACTGATTAAAAGGGGAAATGCAGGACAGAATTTCAAATTCTCATAGAATCTAGATTTTTCTGGAGTCATGGAGGGTAGATGAACTTCTGAAACTATTGCCCTAAGAAAATCTTTAAACCTTAAACCAAAAATATCCCCGGAAGTCTTCTTAAGACTGAGCAATAGTTTAGCTTAACTAGTAAAGAAGGCCTCCCTTGAGCACTGTGCTCTTTTAGGAACTATCTCTATGGGGTCAAACTGACAAGAGCAACTTGAAAGATTAGAAAGGAACCTCAGGGGCAGTGAGTCTATGTTAATGGGGGAGGAAGAGCTCAGAAAAGGAGGAGAATGGATGCACAACTCAAAGAATGTCATCAAGTCACGGAGTTGTCCATGTAGAAATGGTTGAACTGTTGTATGTTTTGCTGTGTATATTCTCAACAACAACAAAATTCCAAAAAGAAAGGTAAAGGCTAGATGCCCAGGACCAACAGAGACACAGGTGTGGTGCAGCCACATTTATTTCTGACCAGCTGAGAGACCTCGTGAGACTCACTTCACTGCTCTGAGACTCAGCTTACCAAATTTTCTAAATAAAGACATTAACAGTACCTCACAGATGAGGGTTTAAACAAGATAGTACATATAAGGTTTTGGGAGCTCTGGCAGCATAGTGGCTAAGACGCTTGCCTGTTAACCAGACAGCTGGCGGTTCAAACCCACCAGCCACTCCTCGGAAGGAAGGTTGGGCAATCCTACATCCGTAGTGATACTGCCTCGGAAACCCAAGGAGGGGTCGCTATGAGTCGGGTTTGACTCGACGGCACATAACAACAACAACAACAACAAGTACATATAAGTACTTCACTCAAAACCCAGTACATAACAAATGCTCGAAATGCATTGTTATGATCACTTGACGGTAAACCCCATGAAGGCAGGGATTCCACCTGCCTCGCTCATCGCTGTCAGCAGTGCCCAGCAGAGCCCACGGTCCCAAGAAGGCGCTCACTTAGTATTTGTTGAAAGAAAGAAGGTTACTACTCTGTTGAATAAGCCAGGAAATACAGGATGAGAGTTGTAAGGGAACCTATTTATGGAGTACAAAGGGAAGAAATATTAACCAAAACTACTACAATCAAAACTCAAGCCACTTAAACAGGGAGTCCAAGACCTGCAATATTTAGGTTTGGGATCTATTCAATTGGAAGTATCAACTGATCACTCAGGAGAGCTGTTGACTAAGCAAGAATGGTATTAGTTTAACAAAGAAATGTTGCTGAGTTGTCAATTCCAACTCATGGTGACCTCGCGTCTATCAGAATAGAACAGTACTCCCTAAAGTTCTCAGTGGCTGCCTTTCCTGGAAGTGGATTGTCAGGCCTTTCTTCTGAGGTGCCTTTCTTCTGAGGTGGACTCAAACTGCCAACCTTTCGGCTAGAAGCCAAGCACATTAACCATTTGCACCTCCCAGGGAATTCAATGCTGTGAGTGGCTCTCAGGAAATGGCCATGCACCCTGCTACACAGAAAGGAGGTCAAGGCTGGCAACATCGATAAAAAAAAGTAAGGTGTCAGGGGGTGGCTGAAGCCATGAGAAGGTGCAGAGAGAAAAGAAGGCTGAGGACAAGTTTTTGGAAAATAAACAACGCAAGAACAGAAAGAGGAGCCATTTCAAAATTAAATTTCCCCCAATTTCTTATCCTCAGAAATAGCTCGCTTGAATTCTGGGAGACTGAAAATGGTTGAAATGACATTTTGTTGTACACATATTTCCCCACAATAAGAATTTTTTTAAAACAATAGTAACCATAACTGTGGGAGAAGTAATGAGAGGTGCTGGATTGAGCAGGATCAGGAAGGAGAGGGAAGAACAGTCACTGCTGGCCACCGGATAGCCCAAAAGGACCCCCTCAAATGCTGTTACTCACTGTACCTGAGAGCGAACACCTCTTCCTGGCTGTGTGGCACTGATCTGCTTTAATCTTGGCCACTGAGAGTAAATAGGCCCCCACAGCATCATAGCCAGCTTCCGCTAAAACCTCCCAGTAGTGAAGGAGGTGCAGTCTTGTCCAGAAGCTCGGGTTTCTGATTTTTGACAGAAAGTCTGTGATGCTGGTAAGACAAGAGTAACAGACACCATTGTAGTATTTTGTACCTTGAAGGAAGTGGCTCCTCTGTAGACCTCATCCTATTAGCCTCTTCATAAATTCCTGGGTTAATATGACTTTGCCAGGTCACCACTTCATCATGAATCTCTCACTCTTCAGCAGTCAAAGCCAGTTCTACCCACCAGTCCAGGGCACCCCTCTGCTGGGCAGAGGCCCTGAGCCTCACAAGCAGAGCCAGCCCCTCCCCCGCCCCTCCTGTGCTGGACCAGCTCCTTGTCATTAATGACTGTGTCTAGTCATCATTTTCTGGCCCCACACCATCCCTACCAGATGGAGAACACCTGCAGGCTCACGGCTGTACCTTAAACCAAACCAAAGTCACCGCCATGGAGTCAATTCTGACTCATAGTGACCTCCACTGGGTTTCCAAGGCTGTAAATCTTTACAGACCTAGATTGCCCCATCTTCCTTCCACAGAGAAGCTGGTGGGTTTGAACCGCCAAACTTCTGATTAGCAGTCAAATGCCTTAGGCACTGCACCGCCAGAGCTGCTCCTCTGTATCCCCAGGGCCTAGCACAGAGCCGAAGGCAAAGTGAGTCATCAGTAGATGTTTGCAGAATGAATGCAGAGGAGAGAGGGAGAGGAAGGGAGAGGAAGAAGTAGGAGGATCTAGCAGAAGAACAAAGCTGATCTTTTACCCCTGCCCACCTAGAAGTCCTCCTCTCTCTGGAATACCACTTAGAACAGAATCCACATGGAGTGAAGAGGGAAAAGTACACTGCACGGAGCCAGACAGATCGAATGGTATAACTTGGGGTTCCACCAGTTGCAGAAGGTGACACCAGATGGTGTTCCCACTGGAATGAAGGAATGTGATTGACTGAGTAAATGAATGAATGCGTCTTGCTTGGAGGATGGCTATCTAAACGCAGCACTAACACAAAGGATAGCTATCCCTGTGCAAACACAATGATTCAGACAAATGTGAGACTTACCTAGGACTCGCAAGGAAGCTGCACAGCCCCTCCCAGCAGCCACTCATCTGCATGTGCCAGGGCAGTTCTTCATAGACTCGCCAGAAGGCAGGTTGCCGCTGGAAGTATCTGACCAAGACTTGGTGGAAGTGGGTTTTCTTGTGATTCACTGGGTTCTGAAACGTATATGGACTGCTTTCTCTGACAGGTGTGATTACACCTATTGAAAATCAATTACAGTGTAACGCATCTGAGCCTTTAACATATGAAGACATTACAGAAAAAGTAAGTATTTTGGCCATAGTTGTACTGTTAGCTGTCATTGAGTCAATTCCAGATCGCAGTGACCCCGGTGTGCAGAGAACTGGGCTCCACAGGGTTTTCAGGACTGTGACCTTTCAGAAGCAGGTCACCAGGCCTCTATTCTGAGGTGCCTCTGAAAAAAAAAAACCAAACTCACTGCCGCCAAGTTGATCCCAACTCATAGCGACCCCTCCTTGGGTTTCCGAGGCGGTATCTCCATGGAAGTAGATTGCCCAACCTGCCTTCTGAGGAGTGGCTGGTGGGTTTGAACCTCCAGCTTTCTGGTTAGCAGTCAAATGCCTTAGGCACTATGCCACAGGTACCTCTGGGTAGGTTCAAGTTGCCAACCTTTTGGCTGGTTGTTGTTGTTGTTGTTGTTATGTGCCGTCGAGTCGGGCTGGTAGTCAGCGCTTAATTTTCTGCACCACCCAGGGTCTCCTTGGCCATAATTAGAGTCAATAAAAGTCAAGGTAGCTTGGAAAAAAACGGAGTTGAAAATATATCTTTGTGCGCTCTCTCTCTCTTTTGCTTTTTAATTTGGTTATTTATTTATTTATTTATTTATTTATTTTTAAGCATAAAACAAAGATGTGTCTTACAGTCAATGGAGTCTTAGGTCTATGAAATCAGAAATATTTTACTAGGCAGAATATATTTTTATATGTAAATGGATCTCAACTAAAGTTCTCTGAACCCTATAGCTAACACAGCAACTTCTAAATGAAAATATATCTTCTTATTACCAAAGAATTAGTTATATTTAAAATCACTGACCTTGAGTTTGAGAAGGTTGATTTTTCATCACATATGTTGTTCTCCCCCTCCCCACCCCCGGAAATACTTGTAACCTACTTTTCTATTTTAAATATACACCATCACAGTTTCCACTTACATAAGCACTTTCAAATATTTGAGAGTATGCCTCTGGGGAAGTTAATCTACTGCCTGAATCGCATACAGGCCAAGAGGCAGCTGAGCAAACTAATGGCCAATTGGATGGTGGAGCCAAAACTGTTCTCTCTTTATTACCAAAGAGAATGATTTTAGTAACTCATACAACCCAGAAACAAGCATCTCTAAAACTAAAATACAAGTATTTTCAATTTTCTGCCTGACACTTTTTCTTGCAAAATGATTGGAGCATACGCTTGGATGGCACACTAAGCTTAGCCATTCATGACAACATTAACAAACTGGGACCCATTGTTCAAATACCCGTTGTGCATTTCCACTGAGCTGATTTCCAGGTCATCCACACATTTAGAAAACTCCATGCTCTCTGGTCTAACCACGGTGGTGGCTTGTGTGTCGCTGTGATGCTAGAAGTCAGGCCACAGGTATTTCAAATACCAGCAGGATCACCCATGGTGGACAGGTTTCAGTGGAGCTTCCAAGCTACGACAGACTCGGAAGAAATCTACTTCCGAAAATAAGCCAATGGAAATCGTGTGGATCACCACAGCATACTGTACAATATAGTGCTGGAGGATGAGGTGAGCCCCTAGGTTAGAAGGCATTCACCATATACAATGACGACAACAGTGGACTCAAACATACCAACGGTCATGAAGACAGGACAGGACTGGGCACCATTTCATTCTGTTGAACATAAGGTCACCATGAGTCAGACAACGCATGGGCTGCCTGCCTCCAGGAGTCTATTATATGTGAGAATAAGCCCTGGAATGGTAAGCCATTGAAGTAAGGTCTTTGTTACTCACCAACCAAAACTAACCAAACCTATGGTTGGGTCGATTCTGACTCATAGGGATCCTACAGGACAGACTAGAACTGCCCTTATAGGGTTTCCAAGGCTGTAATATTTACAGAAGCTGACTGCCACATCTTTCTTCCATGGAACCGCTGGTAGGTTTGAACTGCTGACTTTCTGATAAGCAGCCAAGTGCTTAACCACTGTACCAGCAGAGCTCTTTGTTGCCAAGTACAATTCCTAATTTATATAACCATTTTCATATGTGTTTATAGATTCATTTTCACGTGAGCAATCCCAGCTACAAGCTTTGCTTGTCTGCGACTCCCACCTTCCCTTTCAAAAACAAAAAAAAAAAAAACCCAAACTCACTGTCATCAAGTCAGTTCCTACTCATAGCGACCCCTCCTTGGGTTTCTAAGGCAGTATCACTAGGGAAGTAGATTGCCCAGTCTTCCTTCCGAGGAGTGGCTGGTGGGTTTGAACTGCCAGCCTTCTGGTTAGCAGTCAAATGCCTTGAGCACTACACCACTAGAGCTCCTAGCCTTTTTTCCTTCCTTTTAGCCCACAGGTATTTTCCCAGATTCAGGCCTTACCAAGAAGCTTGTGTTCCACAGCGTTTCTTAGGGTCTGGTGCCGAAAATACAGGAGGCCGTTGGGCTTCTCTTGGACCCACTCTTTTGTGGCGTTGCGGAAGGCAGCCCAGTGTAACGGGGTCACTTGGTAATGATCCCTGTAGCCCAGCATGTCCAAAAGCTGCAGTATCTCATCCTCGGCCAAGCCACAATGCGAGATGCTCAGTAAGCACAGAGCGTCGGCCACCCAGCCATCCAGCCCTATGCAGACAACATACTGACGATCAAAAATAACAGCTGGCATGTGCCAGGTATCGTTCTAAATGCTTTCAATGATTAACCAACTTATTTCTTTCAATAATTCTATAGGTAGATACTGTAACTGCTCCTGTCTCCTAAATGAGGAAAATGAAGTACCGAGAAGTCAAATAACGTGCCCAAGGTCATACAGTTAGTGAACGCAGAACTGGGATTTGAACCCAGACAGCCTGGCTCGAGAGAAAATACTCTTAATGGTTAAATTATTGGCAATATTACCACAACTAATACATCTTGAAGTATGATTACAAACTGTCGAGCCTGCTGATTACTACATGTGGAATGTTTGCTTAACAGTCTATATTAAAGCTTCCAAACACCAGACTGACATTTATGCTGATGAGTGCATTTCTGTATGACTGCATTCTGTACAACTCCACTTGCACCCCTGGAGTCACCTCTTCACTTCCCCTCTGGCCCTTAGGTTTTTCCACCATAGTTAGAATTCCCACTGGCTTTACAACCACCTACAAAGACATCCTTAAGGCTATTGAGAAAAATCACAAAGTGATCTAACATTCTAAATTTATTTCCCATGCTAGGATTTTGTGGGTATGGATGGTTCAGTGGCAGAATTCTCCTCTTTCATACAGGAGACATGAATTCGGTTCCTGGCTGATGCACCTCACGTGCAGCCACCATCCGTTAGTGCATGTTGTTCGCATGTTGCAAGTGTGAGCAGATCCTCCAGACTACGGTGGACTAGGAAAAAAGGTCTGAAAACCTACTTCTAAAAATCAATCACTGAAAACCCTGTGGATCACAACGTCTGATCCACAACCAATCATGAGGACGACACGGGACCAGGCAGAGTCTGATCCAAAGCCAATCATGGAGTATGGGGCAGTTTTATTCCCCCATGCATGGGGTCATCGTTCAGTCGGGAGCCAGCTGGCAGGCAGCCAACAACTACATGCTAGAATTGGGGAATGAGCCCACATGACCCGCAATCTTTAAGCAAAAGCAGCTATTCAACCTCAGCCGTACAAGTGTTCTCTCATGTTACTTTAACTGAACCCTTCTTGTACCCATGGCTGGGCTCCATGGGCCTGGAATGGGGAATGGGGAGGCAGGTGTCAGTGGAAAGTGCTGGGGGTAGGGGCAGGAAATCGCCTGGGAAAAGGAGCAGTCCCTGGAGGGAAAGGTGGGGTAGCATAGCCATGATCCACTTCAAACGACTCTTGTGGGGATTCCTTGGAGGTGGGCAAAGGAGCATGCTAAATTTGAAATCCATTTTCTTACAGAGATGCAAACTCATCAGAGTGAAAAATGAGGCAGGACAATATGTTGAAGTATTAACCAATGTGTTTTTCAGTCCAGGTATCTTCAGCTTCTCTCTTCCCACCCTCCCCCCACAGCCTGCTCATTCTAAATTCACTGCTTCTTATAGCAGAAATACAGCTAGAAGACCTCAAGTTCCAAAGCACACTTTTGAAGCTCATAGCAGATGGTAGCTTGAGAGAGCAGACTGTGTAAAAGCCTGACTGGTGAATATCAAAAGACAAATCTTGACCAACCCATGGAATACATTTAAAAATATATATATATATTTTTTTTATTGTGATTTAGGTTAAAGTTTACAAAGCAAATTCACTTTCCATACAGGACTTCACATATACTTTGTCTCATGACATTGACTACAATTTACCACAATGAAACAGCTCCCCTCCCACTTCTTCCCCATAGTTACCTCTTCCCTGTGTCCTTCCTCCCATGCACTCTTGCTGCCCGAGCAGTCTCCCTGTTCATACACAGTCCTTCTATTCTCCCATGATTGATCTCTCCAGGGACTGTATCTACCTAATGTAAATGTTCAGCTCATATGCCTGTCTTTTGTTTGGCTGGAAGCCACAGAAGTGGGTTCAATCCTAGACCTAAAGGGCAACTAGGGGCCATGGTCTCAGTGGTTCCATCAGGCTCTATCAGAGCAGCAAATCTGGTCCTTTTTCTTTTTAATGATTCTGGGTTTTGTTTCACATTGTGCTCCCACTCTATCTAGGATCTCCTACAGGTATCCCTCTGTGGTTAACAGTGGTAGCTGGGCACCAACTAGTTCTTCTGGTCTCATTGTCATATAGGCTGAGGATCGCATGGTGTACCAGTCCCTTGGACTAATTGTTTCCACTTGTCTTTGGTTTTCTTCCTTCTTCTTTGCTCTGGATGAGGAGAGACCCTATATGATGGAGAGACATCTATATGGCTGCTGGCAAGCTTTTAGGATTCCAGTTGCTACTTGCCAAAGTAGGATGTGGAACAATGTTTTTGTGTAGTATGTTATGCCAATTGAGTTTGATGTCCCCTGCAGCTATGGTCCTGAGCCCACAGGTCCAACTACTCACTCTCTCTGGGTAGCTGGCTGTGGCCAAGAAGTGACTACAACCTTGCCCCTTGTCAGTTCTACTATATACCTGGACATTCTTATAGAACATACAAATACACTTGTAGAAACATTGTCTGCCAACCCTACAAATGGTCCCGGGCATACTGCCCACTGCATGGACATACCTAATAGTTCAGCCTATCCACCCATCTATCTGCCCACGTATCAATGTTTGCCTTCACTGACATCACAATACTATATGTGCAGAAGGGTTCACCTTTGCTGTCTGAACCTCCCACACACCTGTCTTCCTCTTCCTCAATGATACTGTGTTGATTACTCACATTTGGTATATTGCCCTTCTTTTCACCCAAATCAATACTTGTCTCTACCTATCTAACAGTGCTCCCTCCCCTCTCCTCCCACCCCTGGTAACCAACAAAGAAAATTTCCTTCCATATATAACTTGACTTTTTATAATAACGAACTAATACAATATTTGTCCTTCTGTAATTGACTTATTTCACCAGCATAATGTCCTCCAAGTTCATCCATGTTATGCGGTGTTCTGCCAATTCTACATTATTCTGTAGGATTGTATAGTATTCTGTCTAGTTGTATAGTATTTCATAGTGTGTATGTACAATTGTTTGGTTATCCATTCTTCTGTTAATGGGCACCTAGGTTGTTTCCATCTTTTGGCTATTGTAAATAGTGCTGTGATGAACATGGGTGTGCATATATCTGTTCTTGTCCTGGCTCTCACTTCTTTAGGATATATATATACCTAGTAATGGAATGGCTGGGTCAAACGGTATTTCTAATTCCAACTTTTTAAGGAATCGCCATACTGCTTTCCACAGTGGTTGTATCATTTGACAGTCCCACCAGCAGTGTGTGAGAGTCCCAATCTCTCCACATTCTCACCAGCATTCATTGTTTTCTGTCTTGTTAACTTTGCTACTAGTCCTGGGGCAAGATGGTATCTTGTTTTGATTTGCATTTCTCTAAAGAGCTCTGGTAGCCTAGTGCCTAAGGCACTTGACTGATAACCAGAAGGCTGGCAGTTCAAAACACAGCAGCCACTCCTCAGAAGAAAGGTTGGGCAACCTACTTCCCTAGTGATAACTGCCTCAGAAACTCAAGGAGAGGTCGCTATGAATCGGGGCTGACTTGACGGCACATAACAACAACAACAATGGCTAATGATCATGAGCATTTCTTCAGATGTTTGTTGGCCGCCTAAATATCCTCTTTCACCAAGTGTCTATTCATGTCTTCTGCCCCTTTTTAAATTGGGTTATTTGTCTTTTTGTTTTGGAGGTGCTAGAGTTTTCTATAAATTCTAGAGATTAGTCCCTTGTCCGATATGTCATTGCTGAATATTCTTTCCCAATCTGTAGGTTCTCTTTTGACTCTTTTGAAGAAGTCTTTGGAAGCACATAAAAATTTAATTTTGAGAAGGTCTCATTCATCTAGTTTATCTTCTGCTGTTTGTGCATTTGGGGTTATGCTTGATAGTCTATTTATGCCATATATTAGGGCCCCTAAATTTGTCCCTAGATTTTCTTGAGGAACTCTATAGTTTTAGGTTTCACGTTTAAGTCTTTGATCCATCTGGAGTACGTTTTTGTATATGGTGTGAGGTACAGATCTTGTTTCATTTTTCTGTAAAAGGATATCCAGTTTTGCCAGCACCATTTGTTAACAGACAATCTCTTCCCTAATTTAATGGATTTCGGCCCTTTGTCAAAGATCAGCTGACCATAGGTCAATGGATCGATTTCTGGGTTCTCAATTCTATTCCATTGGTCTACAAGTCTGTCATTGTACCAATACCAGGCAGTTTTGACTACTATAGCTGTATAGCAGGTTTTAAGATCCGGGAGTATGAGACCTCCTACTTTGTTCGTCTTCTTCAATAGTGTTTTGCTTATCCAAGGTCTCTTTCCTTTCCATATAAAGTTAGTGATTGGTTTTTCCCTATTCTTACAGAATGTTGATGGGATCTGGATTGGGATTGCATTGAATGTATAGATTGCTTTGGGTAGAATTGACCTTTTCACAATGTTCAATCCTCCTATCCATGAGCATAGTGTGTTCTTCCAATTATGTAGCTCTCTTATGGTTTCTTGAAGTAGTCTTTTATAGTTTTCTTTGTACAGGTCTTTTGTGTCCCTGGTAAGATTTATTTCCAAGTATTTTATTTTTTGTTGTTGTTGTTATGTGCTGTCGAGTCAGACTTGACTCATAGTGACCCTTCCTTGGGTTTCCAAGGCAGTGTCACTACAGAAGTAGATTGCCCAACCTTCCTTCCGAGGAGTGGCTGCTGGGTTTGAACCACCAGCCTTCTGGTTAGCA